AAGGAAGGAAGGAAGGAAGGAAGGAAGGAAGGAAGGAAAAGAGAGAGAGAGAAAGATAGATCAAGTAAGAGAGAGTAGAACTTGGTTCTATTATTCAGTTTCTGGGTTTAGGATGACCTAAAATCCATGTCCCTGGCTCCAGCTATGCCCCTGCGACCCTCCAGGCCTCATCTCTGCCATCTACTCCCGAGCCAGCCCTTCCCTCTCCCCACCTGAGTAGTGTCTTTTCTCTTTCTTATGTACGTGCAGGTAGGAGTCAAGTAGACCGTGCAAGATGCGAGCCAGGCTGGTCATTTCAGCGACACCTGGGCAGACAGCCTGCTGCCCATGTACCTGCAGCACAGAGCTGGCACGTTGGCAGGTGAGGAATTGAAGGGTGGCAGGTACCAGACCTTCTGCAAGGTGTCTGAGCTCGGTGACTGTCTGGTTCTGTAGGTGGTACTTGTTGGGGAGGGCTGCCATGAGAACGTTAAGCATGCACTGCCAAGTCTGCTGCCCACCACACCAGACCAGGACACAGCGGCCTACCACTGTGGGGGAGACACCTGTGGCATCTGCCATCTCCATCAAGAGAAAGGTTCCTGGGGGACGTCGTATCTGCTGGCCATTGGGGAGGCTCAGACTGGAGGAATTACTAAGGAGATATGTGATGGAGTCCAGCCACGCAGCACTGGGTGCCCCATCACATACAACCCAGTGCTGAATCCCCACAGATTCTGGCATGTACTTACACTGGATGCTTGCACGAAGAAGCCTGGGTAAGATACCATGGTTCCAAGAGGAGCCTTCTAGCCATCCCAGCAACTCCTGAGGGCTGAGAACACTAGGGTATAGGTGGGTGACCTCCACAGGCTTGTAGCTGTGGGTTGAGGTATACTCCATGGCTGCCAGCCGGTTCTGGGTCTTAAATAAGCATTTCCAACAAGTGGTCTTGCCACTGCCTGCAGGGCCCAGGAGCAGAATGCCTGGGGCCTGGCTTAGGGCCTGGTCCAGCTGCTCCACAGACTTCAAAATGTCAGAGTTGGGATACAGTCCTACCTGCTGCAGTTCCTCCACCATCAGGGGCCTCGTCGGTTGGGGGGCCCGAGGCTCTTCCAGCACTTGGTGGGCATGAGGGAAGAGCCCACGGAGCAGCTCATGGAGCTTGTGCACGTAGTGCTCATTAAGGACACTGAACGGCTGGGAGTCCAGAAGAGCTTGCAGCAGGGCATGCTCTCCAGTGGCAGCTAGGCTCCGGGGATTCGGGGACTTGGGTTCCTCCCTGGTCACATACAGTCTCTTAATTGTTTCCTCCAGGACCTGCTTGAGCAATGGCAGGCGGCAGGGCAGGAGCCCAGACACCAGCTCATGTTCTAGTGAGAAGAATCTGGACAGGCGAGTAGCCATGTGAGAGGCATCCCGGATTCCTGCACTCATCAGGGTTATTTCTGCCAAATGGTACAGGCTGGGCAGTGTCAGTGCCACAGGCCGCAGCAGCAGGCGTAGGTTGGCAGGCACAGAAGGACTCAGGACACGCAGACTCAGAAGAAAACCATAGCCAAGGCGCACGGACACATGATGGTTTTCAAAGACACCGGTGCCAAGTTGCAGGGGATGGGTGGGGTTGACAGTGCCAGGGCTTTGGAAAGCCTTCTGGTATAGTGGGACATAGAGGTGGTGTAGTTCAGCCAGGCGATGGCCCAGGGCAGACAGTAAACCAGAGGGCAGACTCTGAATTGCCTTCAACATCAGCCAGGCACCGCACTGCAGGGCACCATTCAGGTAGTTGCTCAGGCACCGGGCCTCTAGCTGAGGCAAGCAGGGCAGTAGCACTAGCTGACGGCCCAGAGCCCGTGCCAGGCTAATCACCATCGTTGTCTTGCCCACACCATCGGGACCCAGTAGGGTTCCACAAGCCACCTCTTCGAGGGCCAATAACAGCACTAGGGTTGGCCGCTCCGGGAGCAGGATTGGTAGAGACTCTTGCCTGGGTCCTAGATACTCATAATTGTACAGGAAGGACCGGCCCAACACCTCTAGCCAGCAGGCAGCTGGTGGCAGAGAGGGCCCAGTAGATGTAGCAATATCCCTGAGACTCTGCAGGGGGTTTTTAGTCACTTGAGATGAACCCAGGTGGTACTTGAGTTGGCGGGCCCAGTGGAAGTCTCTCAGATCACTGACCTCATGCTGCCGCAGCAACTGTACTATGTCCCGATGGGACGTTATCATGACCAAGATGGCACCAAGCAGTCTGGCCTGGCGGAGAGAGGGCAGGGACTGCTCACCCTGAAAGGCTGTCTGGGCCCGCATAAATTGTACCAGCACGTCAAGCTTGCGCATTTGCATGGAGAGCATGGACTGTATGTTCCCCTCAAGCAGCGCCTCCTCCATCTCAGCCCGCCACACCACCTCCTCAGCTACCAGCACACACTGCCAGGGGAAGGTATGGGCTAACTCCAGCCAATGACAGATATACTGGTGCAGGGAGAACTGACTGTGTTGGGGTAGCTGCTTGAAAGCCTCATCGACGGATGGGCCCCAAATAAGGCGGGTCATCACACAGTCTTGCAGCATGTGCACAATGGCCACCCGCAGAGACTTCTCTAGGGAGGCCAGCCATGTAGGGAGATCTGGTTGCAGAGGAAGGGGTGCCAGCAACTTCACTTCCTCCCCACCGGCCCCGAGCACTGTAAGTGCTTCTACCTGGCCACTAGTGTTTTTCTCTTCGTCAGTTGTGTTGGGCTTGAAGCTCACAGCATGCACATGAGGAAAGCAATGGTGGACCCATCTCTGGGCTTCACATGTTTCCAATGAGGCAGCCATCAGGGCCACCAGCTCACTGTCACTAAGGAAGAAGAAGCGGGGGAAGTTTGCACGCACCCTGTAGAGGACATTGTCCAGAGCCATTATGATGCTGTCCAACTCCACAGAGCCTGTTTGGAGCAGCTGTTGCAGTTGCTGGCCCTGGAAGTTAGGACTCCGCAGAGCACTGGGCACTATGAGTGACAGGACCAGTGGATCAGCTACAGAGATCTTCATCAGGGCTCGATACTGGTCATCCATGGCCTTGAAACGAGAATCCTGTGGGAAGAGGGAAGGTGAAAGTGAGGACAGATGTAAAGAGACACTGCTCCCGCGCTCTGAGTCCTGCTATTCAGAGCCATTATCCACCCTGTCTCATCCACTTCCCTACCAGGTCGGAACTAGGAAACTGGATCTTCATCTCATAGAGAACTTTATTCAGAAAAATCCACTTCTGCTGGAAAGTCGCCCACACCTCCAGCAGGGCACCTGTGAGAGCAGCCAGAGGCGTATTGGAGGGAGATGAGGGTTCCAGCTTCTGTAAGGGCTCCAGTCTGCTTTTGGTCTTGGGTGCCCCCACCAGCCCAATACTCTTGCTCAGCAGAAAGATCTGATCCCTCCCAGTCCAAGTAGTTACCCTGAAGGAGTCCTTCAGTCTGTCTTACAGATATTCCAAGTCAACCTCCACATCTTATCCCTGTCCCTCTAGGGTCACTGCCTCTAGTCCCACCAATCAGCGCACCCACCTAAGAGAGAAAGACACTCACTCAAGCTATGCATGATAGTCACCCACTCCAGGGCTGTTTTTTGTAAGTCTCCTGACTTCTGGGTGGCCAGGATCTTGAAAAACATTTGAAGACTCTCCTGGATGGAATCCTGCAGGCTGCTATAGTCTGGGAAAGAGTGGATTCCAGCTGAACTATGCTTGTAGTCAGATGGGGCAAGGACAAGAATTGAGGTACAAAAAATGAGTGAGCAGTTAGGGTGACCTGGGATTCCTTCTAGCAGATGTAATGACAGAGGCATAATTGACTCTAGAAGTAATATTGACCAATGCAGTGAAACGAGCCCTGCTGTAGAGTAGATCACAATCAACTTTCTACCCCCACATCTCTCACACATACACAACCACCACCACCACCGTGCATAGGTTCTAGGCCCTCTGATTTCCCCACTTGGATACTATGAGTGTTGAGCTCCACCCTTAGGAAAACCTACTTCCGAAAATGTTCTTTGAAGAACATGAGCTTCCATCCTGGGAAGAGGGCTCAAATGGCTGCAGGTCGCCTACATCCTTTTCTCTTACTATAGTAAGAAAACCCATTCTGAGATCAAAGGGATCCTGGTGAAAAAGCTGAAAGCAAAATCCTTTTCCACTATCTTAGCACTTAGCCCCCTGGTTAATGAAGCTCAATGATTTATTCTGTCATGCCAGGGGAGACTGGAGCCGGAAATGAAGTAAGGACCTAACTAGGGTGAAAATGGGAAGAGTATGGAGAGAAAAGATTTATTCTAGGAGAAAAAGGATTCTCCAAACACCCCTACTGGGAAGAAAACATTTAGTATAGTGTTCTCTGAGTGAAAGAATTTCTACTTAGATGAAACAGTATTCTTTGACTTCTCTTTAACCCCTTAAGTACTCTTCCGTAGGTTTAGAGGCAAAAAGACTCTTTTCTCTAAAGAGTGTGAGACAGGCCCCAACTCTCCTCCATATGACTCCCTGAATAAGTGTACTTCAGATTTCCTCTGCGTAGCCAAACAAATCTCAAACTCAGCTGATTTAAGAAAGGTACTGGGTATCTAGGGAGCTCTTGTGGCCTCGTGGTAAGAATCTGTGCTGCAATCCTGAAGGCACACAGTTCTGTTTCGCCAGCTACTCCACGGGAGAAGGATAGGCAATCTTCTCCCGCGCAATTACTGCCGCTGAAAATCTGCTGGAGGGTCAGCTATGGGTCAGTTCTGACTCAGTGATACACAACAACAACAACAAAGTGATTATCTCTCTAGGGCTGGAACTAAGCTGTGTTCATTAACACAATGTATCAAAACCAGTCTTGGGGGTAAGAACTCTGACATTCAGCAATCGCAAATTAATCTCTTGAATACCCACACATTTTTGGTTCCACTAGTTAAACTATATGCTCGCCCAGAGGCAAGAGTGTTTGTAAACCTAGGTAGGTTACATTATAATTAAATTATAAAATTTATGCTGTTAAGTGCCATCAAGCTGCTTATGACTCATAGTGACCCTATATACAATAGCTCTGAACCCTGCTCTATCCTGAGCCAACCTCATAGTCTCTGACATACCTACCCATACTACTTTAGTCACTGAGTCAATTCATTTCAACAACAACAACAAGGATCCTCCTCTCTTGAGCTGTCCCTCCACCCTCTCAAGAATGGTCTCCCTTTCCAAGAACTGGTCCCTCCTTGCAACATGCCCAAAGTATGTCAGACAGAGAGCTTCAGAATCCTTGTGTCTAAGGAGCAGCCTGGTTTCACCCTCTCTAGGTTTAACCTATTTGTTCTCCTAACAGTCCATGGTGTAGTTAGTACTCTTCTCCAGCACCACAACTCAAAGGCATCAATTCTTCTTCCATCATCCATCCCTAGTCGCTGTCCAGCTTTCTGATGCATAGTACATAATTACAAAGACCGTAGCCTATTAGGCTAGTATTATATTAATCACTGGGAAAAATGGATAGATGAGAACAGTTTCCGTTTCTATGGAAACTGTAGAAAGCTTCAGTAAAGGTAAGTTAATAAAAAACACAAAAAGACCCAAATTTTTTTTAAAAAATCCCATTGCCAGTCAATTCTGTGTCAAAGCAACCCTGTAAGGACATGCTACAATTTCAAAAGGTTGAGAAGTTAAGATAAAAACTCAAGAAAGTTCTAGATTCAGATAACTTTGTAAGTGATCTCGTGTTACTACTAAATTTCCAGAAATTGAAAACAGAAACATGAGATAATGCATAAACATTTTATTTATGCAAGAAAGGCAGTGAGAAACTTCCAAGGACAGGCTTTCAAAGCCTTATTATGTTAGAAGCAAATAAATGTATGTTTCTATAAACATACATTTATTTGCTTAAATAAAAATCTTCAACCATGTATGCATCATATCTTATAATCTCATTTAACTAGCTTTCCGGATTAACTAGCTAGGCTTCTGTCTTGTTGAAAAAGAACATTTCCCCTTTGCTGGTAACTCCCCAACTAGATCATCTTAGGTGCCTGTGTAGCAGCTGTTCCCTGTGCCTGACGCGCCCTTCTCACCTAATAAATTTGGCAAACTCCCACTCCTTCTGGACCGGCATGAGGGATATAGATAAAGGGATGACTTCTCTGGCTCTCCCTGGTCCTTTGAAGCTGGCCCTGTCTCTGAAACATTCCTGTCCTAAATAAAGTGTTGTATCAAGCACTTATCCTTTTATCACTACTCGTCTCTCACTGGATGCCAGCTCCTAACAGATAGAGTTGTTGCCTGTTTATCTTAGGGTCTCCTCTATTTGGCACAGCGGAAGTTTGATGAGAGTGAATAAAAGAAGGAGTGAGCAGGGTATAGTGTCAGACAGCAGGGTGAAATCTAGAGGACAGAGCATTGAAGATGGAAAGAGATGACCATGAAGAATTTAAAAGTGTATCCAGAAAAGGAAGGATGTTGTTTGTGAGAGAGTTCTGGGTGGGATAGAGTTCTAAAGAGATTAAGACATTGTGTCAGAACAGACTGATGTTTCAGGCAGTCAGGGAAGGATGGGGCCCAGACTAGAGAAGCGTGGTCTGATATTGGATGAAAAGGGGGCTTTCACAGGGTCACCAGAGCTGGGTCTCACCTGAGAGGATGAAGGTGCTACTGTCTTTGCTTACTATGTCCCACTGGGAGCTGCGAACCGTGTGCTTTTTGGAGTGCTCTGAGGCTGGTGGCTCGTAGGGTACATGCAGGATAAAATTGAGCAGGCGCAGTTTGCGCCCTTCCCAGGACTGCTGTAGCTGATGTAGGATGTCTTGGGCGTGGATCCGTTCATTTTCACATAGCCAGATCTGGAAGAGCTGGGCCTCAGGAACCAGGACTGGATAATGGCTCCCAGTCCTTGGAGTTGAGACTTACGGGGCTTGGACCTTGGACATAACTCAAGAGCCCAGGTTCAGAGATTGGGAGGTCTTAGAGATGATGGCAAAGTGGAATCATCTGGCGTCAAAGACATCTTCAATGACTTCACACTGACTTTACCCTGGGCTACGAACAAAGCCTTGAAACCCACCCTTTTGCTAGGCTCTTAGCTGAGGGGACAATATCTCAAACCTCTTGTGTTTTGGGGGGATACAGTAAGTGTTGCAGCTTGGGGAGGGGGTGGACATCTGTCATCCTGTATGCCCACAACTTCTGAGCTGTCACCACCGTCCTGTCTTGGGAAGGGGGCGGCGGGGGAAGTATGCCTTCGGTCATAGAGCTTGGAATCCCCTTATGTAGAGACTTGAAAAAAGAATATTACAGCCCTCCAGATAGTTCCAAAATCTTACCCCCACCCTCCATATGCCATCATCCACTGCACTATTGTCTCAGAGGTGGGTGCTGGATCTTAACTGGCTGAATTAGAGCTTAGCAAATGAATTCACGCTTTGGATCACCCCACTTCCTCCTGGAAGCCCCACCTGGTTGACTCGGTCTGCAAACTCCAGGAGCGGACAAGTGAGCAGCTGGCCCAGTGTTACCAAGTCCAAATTATTGAGACTTTCCAGCCCTAAAGCTGAAGTAGAGGAGACAATGTCAGGGCTTCATGCTGTATCTGACAGATGCCAACCCATACCCCAGAGCTCAGTTCTCTAAACCCAGAGCCTAGACTAGGAACTCGGAGCCCAGCCCAGCTTAGTTGAGACTCTGACTGCAGATCTCAGAGCATAACACGGAGGCCAGAACACCTCGAAGCCCAGACCTAAAGCCCCAGCCCAAAGGCTGGCCCAGGTCATAAGAGAAGAAGGCCGCATATAGTGAGAAAGGTTATAAATGTATATCCCAGAGGGAAAAGTCTGGGATAGAAATTGATAATTCCTTCCTAGAGGAAGGCAGGGAGCAGCCTAGGGATGAAAGGTGCTTTTAGCAGAGAACTGAGTTACAACGAAGTTGTAGACCCCCATGTCCTTTCCCACTCCCTTCCCCTCTGACTCTGAACAAACACACCTTGTAGGAGGGCTTGGTCGTGAATGTTCTGCACGTGGAGGTGGCTCAATTTAGTGAGCAGTGGCAGGTAGCTGCGGAAGTCCTCCAGCATGCGCATGCAGCGGTACAGCACGGGGCTGTGTAGTCCCAGGGCTGTTCTCATCCGGGCGGCTTCTGTCAGCCAGCCGTTGGTCTTTTCCTGGGCCATGGCCAGGTTGAACTGCAGGGACAGGGCTTCTCACTATGAGATACTCCCACCTCCACCCTTATAGGCCATTCACGCCCAGCCAAGAGCTCCAAAGAAGTGTTAGCACCTTGGCGAAGGCCATGCATTTCCACTCGCTGATGTTTTCAGAGATGACTCGGTACAGGTGCCAGATGCGCTGCTGCTGTACAATGGGACGAGTCCCACAGGCCGGCAAATGCAAAGGACTCTCCTCCCCTGTAGGATAGGTTAGTGGCTGAGCCTGGGGCGAGGTGGCAGGGCATGGTGAGGCGTTGTCAGTTAAAAGCTCATAATATGATAGAATAGAGGTTCCAGAAAGTGGGGGAGGGGGAAGGAGGAGGGTTTAAAAGGATCAGTATAAAAATGGAGGTGGGGCTATATTCCAAGAAAAGAGTTATTTCAGAAATGATGAAGGCAATTACAGGGAAGCATCTGTATTGGTCTCCATCTCAATTGACTTCAGATCCTTTATTGTTACTCATGGTTAAGGCAAGCTCTTTCCTGCTAAAGGGCCTTTGATTGACAGCTCATTCTTTCTGGAAGACTCTCCCCTCAGAGAACTACATGACTCAATTCCTCAGTAAAGTTAAATTTGTTTTTTCAAATATCACTTTAATGAGGCATATATAGACCACTCCATTATGGAGGGTTGGTGAGGGAGAGGAAGACCCTCAACCAGGTGGGCTGACGCGGTGACAGCTACAATGGGCTCTTGTGTGTCAGTAAGTGTGAGAATGGCGCAGGACAGAACAGGTTCAGATCTTTTGTTCATAGGGTCACTATGAATCGTATTCAAATCAATGGCACCTAACAACACCACCACCATCAAAAAAGTGCTATCTATTCTCCCTGGCATTTGATCCTTCCTAGTCTACTTTTTTCCTATACAGCTTATTACATCCTTTTTCACTATATAATTTAGTTCTATTTTACATTCATTATCTAGCCTTTCTTCTCCAACTAGATGGTAAGTATGTGTGTGAGGAAGTCTAACCATTTGGTCACCGGTAAACTTCAAGTACCTAAAAGAGTGTCTTGTACAAGTCATTATGCTGTTAGGTGCCATCAAGTCAACTACGACTCATTGTAACCGTATGTAAAACAGACCAAAATCCTGCTTGATCCTGCCATCCTGCCAATCTCCGAGGTACGTAATAACTGGAGCTTCTTTACAGTCTCACAGGACACAAGTTCCCAAGTCCCAACTCTTATCCCAGCTGGAGGAAGGGTCTCCCTTAGGGAGCTGATGGAGGAGTGAGGGGCTCCGTACCCGTGAAGACAGCATAGGCATAGTGTAGTTCAGTGAGGTGATTGGCTGAGTTCTGGAACTGACGCTCCATGGAGATGAGCTGGCGCTCGATGCTCCTCTGCTCTTGTGCTGGGTCCATGTAGGGACCAGACAGAGCTTTCTTAATCAGGCCTTCCAGTGTCACCAGTGCTGCTGCCATCAGCTGCTGCAGCTTGGGCACAATGGCATGTCGCTTGCTGAGCAGGAACTGCGAGGCCTGGCTCTTCTCAAACTGAAAAGCCTCCCATGCATCCAGCAGCTTTGAGTCAAGAAGAGAACAATAAAGTAGATGTGGTTGGGAGGAGAGAAACTGGGTGGTGTGGGTGACACCTTACATTGCCCGCTCACCAAGATGTCCAGCGCTTCATTTTCAGGATCAAAGAGTTTAAAGTGGTGGCGGACGAGTTCATGAAGTGATCGTATGTACTCCATTCGAGCCTCCAGCTCAGTGTACTGTTCATTTGCCTTATTCAACTGCAAGTACAAGGGCAACAGCATGAGACCAGCCCCCCCACCTTGCTGGAGACACTCCAACCCTCTGTAGGCTCAAGATCTCAACAGGAGGCTTCTAACCATCTGGAATCTGGTGCAGGTCTCTCAGTAATTGCATACTAGATCATCGCCCCAATGACAGGGCATCATGTCCCTCCTATCTGAGTGCTACAGGTGAGTGTGACAGGGCACTGGAACTCTATCTTTCTTATATTAGGACTTCTCCACCAGGACATGAAGAAGCTGTGGGCATCGCAGAACCCTTAGGTGAACACAGTTTAAGAGTGTCAAGCTCTAAAGAGAGCTCAAGGGGAAACCTGAAGAGACTGGCAAATATCTGGGCAAAGCCAGGCGAGGCAAGCAGGAGGGAAGAAAGCCCACCTACCTTCTGGGAGCACCGTGCTATGGCATGAATGTCAGAGTTGATGGTTTGGAAGATCTGCATGAAATCTGTGAGCTCTGTCATTAGTTGCTGAGTCCGGCTCCTGCACTCATCCTGCACCTGTGTGAGAATGTCCTTCCTAACGTTGTCCAGTTTGGACTCTGGAGATAGAAAAAGGTCAGGTATTAGATGATGCATGAAAAGAAGGAGGAGTGGGAGATTGTTTGGAGCTGAAACAAGGAGGAGTACTTAAAAGGAAGCCAGACTGTGAGTTCATCCCACATCCATTGAATGCTGACTCGTCTCCTACTCAGTGTCAAAAGAACAAGCTGCTATGGCCTGGAGCATGGGCTGTGCCACTCAGAAACTAACAATATGGTGGCCAAGAAAGACATAGAAAGAGATAATCACAAACCAGCGTGATAAATGCTCTGCAAGTACCAAGAAACCCACAGCCTGGCACAGAAGCTTCTCTGGAAAGGCATCCTCAGGGAGGGGACAACTGGCGAGTTGAATACGTTGAATAGCAAAGGCTCAAAGACATGCGATATGTGCAGTAGGTGCAAAGGCACAGAGGTTACATTGTCATGAGTGACGGAATAGCCTAACAGAGTCGGAAGATTTCTGCGTGGGAGTCTTGGCTACCTTGCCCGTTGTCTTGCACAAGCAGTGCCAAGAAGAGGGTGCAATCTCTTTATTGTTTTTAAACATTAAGGAAGCTGTCAGATGAGTATGGGATTAGGAGCTGCTCTTGATGA